AGGCGTTCAAAGTAGGTGCTTGAACCACCTCTGGCGGCAGTCTATTCCAAACCTTGGGGGCTCGGACAGTAAAGAAGTTCTTTCTTATGTCCAGTTGTTCAACATCTCCAATGCTCCCGTGGTATTTGGTGCTTGGCCTCAGCTCCTGGAGTCGCATGAAAATGTGCATCTCTGCAGTGGAAAAGAAGAAGCCTCAGGACAGGAATGAATGATAGGCAAATCAGGTGAATGTCATGTTCCTTGACCTGAATGAGTAATAGAGCCATATTCACATAATGTTACCTTAAGACTCAGTTGTGCAGCCCTTACAGTGAATAGCATTTACTCTAGCAAGAAGCTCCATGGAGGACATTGAGTTATCTTGTGGGTCTTCATGGTCCAAACTTGTTCTCACTGAAATCAGTAGCAACATTCCCCACAAAGACCTTGTACAGTAGCTGAAAGACCCTGAACCCCCACTTTCCACACAGACCATTTCAGGGCAGGAGTTAACTGAGAAGCAAATTGGGTAAAGGGTTGAATTCTGCTCTTCAACACATCCTTACATATGTTGGGTAACTCCACTGCTACTTTATCCAAATGGCATGTTTTGGAATGGTATTTTGTAATAACCGAAATCAATACATTTATGCCTTGGTATTGTCAGGGGACAAATGACGCTTGGAGGCAAGTTAAAGGCCCATCAACTTTCTTTGGCTGGTCACTAATTCCCAAGAAGTGTGTGGTGCCCAGATAATATATCTGTTTGATACAAAAGTCCATCCAAGCAAAAAGATCCAACCTGTTCTTCTTTTTCCTTAGACTGCAAATATTTATTGAATAAGCATGGAACCTTATGTGCCAGTAGCAAAGGTGACTTTTTTTTTTCTTTTCTATTTTTAGTAGTAATAAATAACGCTTCTGTATGAAGATGCCCATTATACTTGGAACTGCCAATGCTGAGAGAGTTTGGGACTTTCCCTATACACTGGGGTTTTGGTTTTCCTGGGGCCGCTAGCATCAGATTTGCTAAGTATTTTTCTGTTTTAATTCTTAAAAATGTAAAGGTACTCGAGAGAAACAAAAGGAAAACTGAATTCCTTCTCTAAATGCAATTGCTTTGCAACAAGCAGAAAATGTAACCACCTTTTTAATACGCAATACAATCTGTCCCACACTACTTAACTCCATAATAAAAGTGCCAAGGTCTAGTCTAAACCAGCCATAATACAAAGGCTAATATAACAAAATCTGCCTGTGACAGCTGGTAAATCCAGCTAAGCAGTGGATTACCAGACAATTAACTTGACACAGTAAGTGTAGGCAAATGTTGGAACTAGTGAAATAAGGAGAGAGGACACCATCTGCTAAAGAAAAATCTGATCTCTGTGGACAAACATAGCAGGAGGAAACTGCAGAATCCATGTGATTCTGTGCATCGACAATGAGGGCCAATGCCACTAAACCAAGCCACTGAAGATGTAAAATTTGAGCATGAATGCAAGGGCTAAATACTAACCATGTACAAAATGGAGACCACAGAGGGACATGCTGAGCAGTGTCCCTGAAATGACAGGTCTACATCTAGCTACAACTTCAAACTATCAGACCCATGTGGTTAGTGTAAATGCATCAGCTTGTTCAATGGTGTTCCTAATAAGGCCATGTGATATCAGTGCTCCTGATCTGCACTGACTGGCAAATTGATTTCCAGCTAAAGTTTAAGATGTTGGGTTTCCCCTGTGAGGCCTAAAATGGTTTTGGGCCAGCAGGTGTGCTCAGGCTGCTCATGGAAAAATGGGGAAGGGGTTGCAACGGGCTTGTTTTTGGTGAGCAGTTTTGAGCTGCCTTTTGTCTGGGTTCTGTTACCTGAATGAGTAACAAAACCATGGTCACAGTGTCATGCCATGCTAGGACCCAGCCTTTGCACTGAAGAACATTTACCCAAGCTGCAAGAAGCCCCATCAGGACTACATGTGCTTCTTTAGGGCGTGATCCTGTTCTTACTGAAGTCATTTCAATACTCCTGCTGTCTCAAATGGGGGCAGTGGGAAGGTCAAAAAATCAGTTGTAAGGGACCCTGAGACCCAGTGTTCAAGGGAGTCTTGTTTTGATTCACTGGTCTCTCAGATCCACGTGACAGTGTTTAGAAACACCACTATTCTCAGTGAACACAGCTGCCAGAAGCCTTATCTCAGGACTGGGTTCACAGCATTGGTGACTCAGGAAGTGCTGATTCTACAACTCCTTAGACATATCACTAATTTTATACCTGAGCAATGCATAGTGCCACAGAGTTCAGCTCCTTAGACATAAGTTAGTTTCATGTGATAATGGTTTGTGGGGTATGTGCCATGATTTGCATATAAATAGGCATCCTGTTCACTGACTATATATGCTTTTTAAAAGGGGTATTTAATTTATCTTCTATAAAAGCTACAATAAAGTTGCAAAGTCAAGTGTTGAGACATTCAGAAGCAACAGAATTATAGTTGCTCATATAACTCCTTTTAGCCTCCTTTTCTTATGTGTGTTACATGATGCAGTTTTTACATGGTTATATACAAGTCTTTCCACAGGACTCAAACAGTTTTCTAGCCAAGGGCTAAACAGATCAGCCTTATAGTGTTGTTACATGTAGGAACAGCCCCAAAATATTCAGCCTGGGGAAGACACCTGGCATGGAAAGATTCAGCCCAAATATCTAATGTCTGGCAAAGCAACTGAAAACAGCCTTAAAACAGCAGACCTCCTTAACCATATGTATTGCTTTCTATGATAAAAATAAATGTGCGCACCAATTGGTAGGCAAAGTTCTTTGGGTAAATCTGATATCTTTTATTAGACCAACTCAAATAGTTGGAAAAACTCTCTTTTTTGCAAGCTTACAAATACCCCTTGTCACTTTTGTCAGGCTGAAGAAGCATCTATAGTTAGTGTGCGCTCTTCCTGGATGGAAGGAATAGTGAAGCAGCCAGAGGCTGGCATGCATGCAGGAAAGGCAGTCAATGAAGATATAAATTGAGGAGTCAGTGGGTAAGACAGGTCGGGGGAGAGGGGAGAAGGAGAATGAATGTAGGTGGTAAATAGTGGAGAGGTACCTGCACCAATAATTGGATGAGAACTGTAAGCAGTAACAAATTGCTGCAAAGGAGTTTCTCTTTCTTTAAATTCCTTAAACTGGGATAAAAATTCCTGGCCTCTGGAGAAAGTTTGGCAACAGCCTTTGTTTTGCTTTTCACAGTGTGGGGGCAGATGATTTTCTAGGAAACCAATGCAATGTTTTCAGAAAATTTGCTGTAAAATGGAGGTGAATGTTACAGTTCCTGATATGGCTCCTGTTGGAAAGTCCCTGCAAGTTCATTTGAATGTGATCAAAACATCAAGCTTGTATTTAATGGGCTTGTTGTATAAGATGCATGGGGTTTGGAATAGGCCCTCTGGAGTTTTATCCTCCTCCCCCCTCTCTTCTTTGTGTTCCATGGAAAGCAACACTGTACTGTGAGACGTCTGTCCAACAGGCACGGACAACTAGTTACCTTTTGCCATTTCAGTTCCTTTCCAAAGTCCTCTGCAACAAAGAATCCAGTGTTTTTAAAAAATCCATGACCCCAATTCTGGAAAGCACCTGTTTATTTGCACTCAGCTGTTGTTGCTGAGGCGAGTCTCTGATTTATGTAGCTACTTTAACTTCACTAGGTTAAGCACAGGCAGTCTATTCTCAGATCAGTCTATTTGATGATGCTGACTGGAAAAAAACCCAACTCCAAGCCTCCAAATGTACGTCTACATCTAGGATCCATACTATGGCATAACATCGCATAGAGTTCAAATAAAACTTCTGGACAGTAGTTTCAACATCCAAGGGCAAAAAACCCTCAACGTTGAGCTCAGCTACCCAAAGGCTCAGCTTTCCCTGAGCTGCAGTCTCTCTCAGCCATTGTGGGATCTGTGTTTGAGCAAACAGAGAGTTTGGCAGAAGTGGCTGCAGCGACTGACCTACAAGGGTAAAAGTGACACTTGGATGAACAAGCCGAGCTCTGCTGAAGCCGTGGCTGGAAGCGAGCGCCTGCTCTTTACCTGCGCTCCTGGTTCTTGTGTGCGGTTGGCACGTTAAAATGGGCTGCTAGGGGCTGAAGTTTTGAAGAATTGCTTGCCAGGTAAGAGTCCCCTGCTCCCAGGTCAGCTACGTGCAGAAATTCTTGCAGGAGAGGTCGGGGGAGTTCATTAAAGACCTCCAAGTCCTTTAGCCAAAGGCTTGTCTGGCGTCTAGGGGGCTGCCTCTTCTGTCAGCTTGTGCCAAGCAGGCAAGGATGCTCGGGGCCCTGCTGCGGAGCTCCGAGGGCTTCCAGGCAGGCTGTACCGGGGGACACGCGGCTGCAGGCGCGGGGCGCACTCGTGCGAGCGGGGAAACCCCTGGCAGGCCCC